TTAATATTAAGACCAATGTTAAGATTAATATTAAGACCAATGTTAAGACTAATATTAAGACCAATGTTAAGATTAATATTAAGACTAATATTAAGACCAATGTTAAGATTAATATTAAGACTAATATTAAGACCAATGTTAAGATTAATATTAAGACTAAAATTAAGACTAATGCTAAGATTAATATTAAGACTAATATTAAGACCAATGTTAAGATTAATGTTAAGACTAATATTAAGACTAATGCTAAGATTAATATTAAGACTAATATTAAGACCAATGTTAAGATTAATGTTAAGACTAATGCTGTTTCCTACATCCCCCACCAGGTGTTTGTGTACGATGATGGAAGCGGTCTGCGTGTCGTCGTGACCAACACTCCCGCGCGCGTCCGTAACGACCTCGGCAACCTACAGAGGGCGCTACAAAATGCTACGAACGGTCGCGTCATCATCATCGACGACTACCGCTACCACACGCAGGGAAACGAGATCAACTTTGACTGGTGAGCGTGAGCGTGTGTGAGTGTGTGTGTGTCTGGGAGGGGCAGGGTGAGGAGGGGTAGGCATTTTGGTAAAGGGGGGGGGGGTATTACAGAGGGAAAGAGGGGTTGTATTAAAGGAGAGGTGGGTGTTGTAAAGGGGAAGAGTAGTTGTTAGGGTCACCAGCTATTATGCATGTGGCTGCGTGAGATAAAACGATTCGAATTGATGAACGCGTGTCTGTTTCCTGTGTGTGTTGCAGGACGGATGTGTTTATACATGTCGTAAACCCACGCACGCACGCCGTCGAGCCGGCTCCCACCGTACTCAGACTCGTCGATCACGACAAGTTCTACTTGAAACCTGAACACGAAGAATACCTAGTCAGTAGGATAGAGGTGAGTCATACCTATAGGTAGTCAGTAGGATAGAGGTGAGTCCGAAGAATACCTAGTCAGTAGGATAGAGGTGAGTCATACCTATAGGTAGTCAGTAGGATAGAGGTGAGTCATACCTATAGGTAGTCAGTAGGATAGAGGTGAGTCATACCTATAGGTAGTCAGTAGGATAGAGGTTAGTGACATAATAGGAGAGAGGGGAGTCATACCAACACCTGTAGCATTGACAGATATGACACACACTGCCACAGTTCAGAACCAGTTGACAGTAGTGTCATCAAGTGGTGACATCTATGATCAGGATAGGTGACAACTGGTCCATGCAATCGCGCGGGTGTCACCTATATCTCGTTAGTAACATCAGGATGGGTGTCACGTTGTCCTCGCAGTCAGGATATATAGATGACATACATCGTGTGCCGTTCTTGTGTTTCAGCCGTCCGTGATGGCGGTGAGTGGCGCCCCCTACGAGCGCGGCGTTCTCATCGCTCTCATCCTCATCGTCGTCGTCCTATTCGTCGGTCTCGTCGCGTTTCTCGCTGTCTGCTGCCACGCCCGACGCCGCGAACGCAAGCTCACACACGCCACCGCTGTCACCGCAGCTGCCACCGCCACCGCAGCCGCCGACGGTAGCACGCTCTCTTGTCGTTCACGCGTCGTTCTTCTGAAACGTTGTTAGAGTTTTGAAATGTTGATACTCATAGTTTTGAGGGGTTGCCAGAGTTTTGCAGTGTTGACAGTCAGTGTTTTGAGGTGTTGCTAGAGTTTTGCAGTGTTGACAGNTCAGTAGGATAGAGGTGAGTCATACCTATAGGTAGTCAGTAGGAGAGAGGTGAGTCATACCTATAGGTAGTCAGTAAGATAGAGGTGAGTCATACCTATACCTGTAGCATTGACAGATATGACACACACTGCCACAGTTCAGAACCAGTTGACAGTAGTGTCATCAAGTGGTGACATCTATGATCAGGATAGGTGACAACTGGTCCATGCAATCGTGTGGGTGTCACCTATATCTCGTTACTAACATCAGGATGGGTGTCACGTTGTCCGCGCAGTCAGGATATATAGATGACATACATCGTGTGCCGTTCTTGTGTTTCAGCCGTCCGTGATGGCGGTGAGTGGCGCCCCCTACGAGCGCGGCGTTCTCATCGCTCTCATCCTTATCGTCGTCGTCCTATTCGTCGGTCTCGTCGCGTTTCTCGCCGTCTGCTGCCACGCCCGACGCCGCGAACGCAAGCTCACGCACGCCACCGCTGTCACCGCAGCTGCCACCGCCACCGCAGCCGCCGACGGTAGCATGCTCTCTTGTCGTTCACGCGTCGTTCTTCTGAAATGTTGATACTCATAGTTTTGAAACGTTGCTAGTGTTTTTGCAGTGTTGACAGTCAGTGTTTTGAGGTGTTGCTAGAGTTTTGCAGTGTTGACAGTCAGTGTTTTGAGGTGTTGCCAGAGTTTTGCAGTGTTGACAGTCAGTGTTTTTTAGTGTTTGTTGTTTCTAGGTTCTAACGTTTGCTTCTTATGCTTTTACAGCGAAACCAGTCGTGGAAGTAAAGCCAACGACCACGTGAGTCACATCTTATCTTATCTTATCTAATAATATCATTGTAATATGATATAAATCTATTTAATTACATAATATTAATTAATTTATCAATTAATAATAGTAATTATAATGTAAATAATAATTAATTCTGACCTCTCTCTCTCTCTCTCTCTCGCTGGGTGGCTTGCAGGGAGAATCCGCTGTGGGAGGAGCAGAAGCTGCGTATGTACGAGGAACAGGAACTATCCATGCAGGTCTTCCCGGAATCCGACGAAGCTGCCGCAGCAGCAGCAATCCCGATGGTAAACCTGGACGATCGCCAGGGGGCGCCGCCGCGAGCGTTCGAGCCGGCCGAGCACACGTACGCGACGATCGACCGCCCGCGAGGGGGCGCCACCGACGCGTCGCAGTCGACGTTCCTCTCGCCAGGGAGCAGCACCGCTCAGCTGTACTAGCATGTTTATTACTGGATGGGTATATACAGATATATATATATACATATATACAGCTATATATATATATATATATATATATATATATATATATATATATACAGCTATATATATATATATTATATATATATATCACAGCTATATATATATAGGTGGGTTTGCTCAACCTGGCAGCAATATCTAAGATAGGTCCAGCAGGTGATCTTACTCAGCTAAATTAATTAGGGTTAATTACGGGGTAAACACGTGTTGACAGCAAACTAACCACACGAAGATCATTTCAATGTCACCCATACCATATATGTTATATATATATATATATATATATAATATTATGTTATCGAAATACGTAATAATAGTCTTATTATAGTGAGTATTAGAATTTATTTTTAATAAACAGTTTTTATAGTATTTTACTGTATAAGTTTCTATGCGGATTAACAATTTAATGTTTTTATGGTGCAAGTGTGAGCTGCAACTGGTCGCAATAGGGGGCGCCTGTGTCCAATAGATCTGGGCTTTCAAGTTTGTCAGTGTTTACATAACAATTATAGGCGTTTTTATTTAAGCAAGTCTGTTATGAGCGAATCAAATTTTCCATCTATTTAACCAACTCGCCTACAACGATTAGGTCGTTGTATTTATTTAGCCGATTTGGCAACGCGCGTATCACACTCGACTAACTCGTCCAGGGGACGCTTTGAGACGATTATCAAACATGGCGGCGCACACATCTTTAGCGAGGTAAGTTGATATGATTCCTTTCATTTTACTTATCACAAACCCATAAATATCGTCTGATCTTTGGAATAACTTAGAATACACTCTTCAATAACAAAACATCAGTATTTTTCTTATTTTCTCATGGAGAACTACCGGGTCCGCCATTGTTACAATGATCATTTATTTAAGGCAATTCGATTTGCATCACGTGATGATACACAGTGTAAAGCGATTTGATCCGAGTTGCTCGAATAAAAACGCTGTATGTGTCAGCTGTAGTGTGGCTATGAAGGAAAGAGGTGCTTGTGGTGGGCTAGAGTAATTGTTGTTCAACTCATGTGTGGAATGAAAGCTGTGACCGCATTGGGAAGTTGCTACAATTTAATCGAGGTATACGCAGATTAAGATTGTGTGAAAGAGTACTTTTTATTCTCCGTCTCAATGTGTATGCCTATGCACATGTATTGTTTGTTATTCTGATACGCAAATGTGATCACGATACACAAAGTAAGGTTATGCAAATTAAGAACTTTTAATTTTTTTGTGAAATTGTGAGAACTTTTTATCACCCGTCTTAATGTTGTACGTACACGTGTGTGCATGTGCGTGCGTGCGTGCGTTCGTGTGTGCGTGTGTGTGCGTGCGTGTGTATGTGTGCGTGCGTGCGTTCGTGTGTGTCGATGTACGTGTAATGTTTATTATTCTGCAAACTTGACCGGGTTATCGATTCCACGTAATATATATATATGTATATATATATATGCACATGTGTAATGACAGTAATGTAACAACGCTCACTGCGGTTGTTATTGTAATATGTCCGTTAGGAGAGCCGTTCTCCACTGTCTGTAAATAAAAGTGCGCTCATGATAATTATGTATATTTTGTTGTGCGTTTATTCTCTTTGTTACTCCCGAGAATTGTAGAGCTTACGCGCGTGTACACGCACGCACACACACATCACACACGTGCACGCACGCACGCACACATCACACACACAGACTCGCGCGCGCGCGCGCGCACGCACGCACGCACGCACATATAGCAGGTCTCAGGGGAGATACAGTGATCCGCTAGAGGCGCCACCATCCAATGGCATTAGGAAATGTTATTTTGAATTTATACATCAGAGCCATCTAGCGTGAGAAATATTCATAAAGTTCATATGGAATAACCCAGACTCGGATACATACAGTTACTCCCTCCCCTCTCGCAGATGGTATCGCCCATGACCAGTCAAGCGTTAAAAATCTTTTGCAGAAATTCGCTGCATTTCGGCTCGAACTTTTTCACTCCCCGAGGCATAAAATGTGAAATTACGTCTATAATACACGTGCACGCGTGCGTGCGACCACACGCGCGTGTGCGCATCCATTAGTGGGTGTGTATGTGTGTTTTTGTGATTGTAAAAACGCGTATTATAGCCGTAAACCCACTTTTTGCACAATGAAGAGTGAAAAAGTTCAAGCCGAAATGCAGCGAATTTCCTCCAAAAGATTTTTAACGCTTGACTGCGCATGGGCGATACCATCCGCGAGAGGGGAGTGAGTAACTGTATGTATCTGAATCTGGGTTATTCCACATATACGTTCCGGTGCCCGAGGCCAGTGAGCATGCACCCGAGGGTCTCAGGAAGACATCAGAGCCATCTGGTGTGAAAAATATTGATAAAATACGCATATGTGGAATAACCCAGATTCAGATACATACAGTTACTCACTCCCCT